CGCTCGGGTAGAGGGTCAAATTGACTCCCCCCCCCCCCGAAGGTCTTTCCAAAATGGCTTCCGAACGGCGCGGTGCAGCCGCGCCAAATTTTGCATAGCCGTAGACAATTGGGACTGTTTGACACCAACAATTTAGATGTACCTTGTAAGGTCGCTGACCTATGGCAGGTCAAAGTCAGGCCATAGTTTCAGCGAAGGCAATTTCTAGGGAATCCTTCAGTCTGACCCAATAACGGAGTGTCAGACGAAGCCATACATCTTTGAGATGCTTTCTTAGGAAACACAACATTTGAATGAGCACATTACATTGACCTAAGGTCAGGTATGAAGGTCACACCATGGTCAAAACCAACCTGTTTTGTTGCTCTAGGGTTTACTGTATGGAATAGTTTCTGGTGCTCATTCCGAATTTATTGTTAGCAGGAACCACATTCTACATCATCCATGGACTTCTTGAGGTCAAAATAGGTTATGGACCTAAAATGACCCAGGTCAACATTTTGTTTTAGGGACATACTGTCTAGCATCCTTGTCGCTTGACATCCTTGTCGCTCAGTCAAATGCAAAACGCAAAGCAATCTTGTATGATTTTGGTCGCCCTGACTTTCAAAAGGTCAACAAATGTCACTAACCTTAAATGAGCATGCGACCTTTTGCTTAGAAACGGTTATCTAGGTTCCGGGGGCACTTTGGAGACAACCTGGAGCTTGAACTTGTTTGACCTTTTTTGACCCGAAGGTCATAATCTAGGAACCTGAAACTTTGACCTAAGTGAGTTCACGTACAGGTCAACGCACCCTGTATATTTGTTGTCTCTAGCTCTCTTAGTTCCCGAGATCTTAGGGGTGTCAAACTGACCCCCTCCCTCCCCATCCGAGCAAAGGGTATCTGGCCGGCCACCCGGGCGCATGTTAAGTGAGGTTCGTTTAACTAGGAGAGGGGGTTTCCACGGCCCTGGTTGAGGATGGATGCACATCACTGGAGGGATTTTCGCCCTCCATTCAACATGGGTGCACGGCACCTTGCACAACATCGCACGGCCTTGCGAGTGCACCGGTCGTATCAAACACATGAGACGATGAAAAGGAATCTTACCACACGAAGCCCCAATGCACGAAACGGAAATGATATCGCACAGCGCACACTCGCCCATTCACCCAGCGCGCGAGCGTTAACACTTCCAGGAGCCGTCCTCCCTGCGCGGCAGCCTGTCTGGGGAATGCGGCCACTTTTCCCGAATCGCGTACCGGAACAGGCCAAACGCCCTCCGGACGCCATCCGCCAGCATAACAGCCAGGACGCCGGGCCGGGAACGATGTGACCAAGCATGGGCGAGGGAACGATCGCGTCAGTGGAGGAGGGCTTCGAAGATCGAGCTCACCTCCAAACAACTGAAATGATTTAGCACTAGGCTGACGGCGGCACATGGAAATAATCGCCAAAAATTCTCTGACCCTCCCCCCCCCCCCCAGTTCTTGACGACCTTACTCGCTCCTGCGACCACGAAATGGCGCGGGTGGGTCAGTGCCGACAGAGGCCAAGGTCCGGCAGCGTTAGGCAAAGCGGAGCGAAAGGGATGGGAGGGCGGGTCTGGACAGGTGAGCTGCCGGCGTCGCCGGTGTGCTGTCAGCGAGCGGCCCCGTCTGCCGCTGCCTTGGCTTGGTGCAAGGGACATGCCTTGTTTATGAGGGAATCCCCACGCTCAATAGCATATATACATAGGGCATTGCCACTCAGCTCCAGGTTGATATCACCGCTCAATTGCAGTAGTTTCGAATAAGTCATAACAGTATGAACCAGCAGGCATTGATTGCCAGTCGTGTGCTGCTGTAAAATGCAACACTTACGTTAGAAACCTGTTATCAATCGCCACCAAGACAAAGATTTTAGGACAAAAATATGATTTGAAAAGGGCTTGTACATTAAGCAAATTCATGTACAGTTCTCAGTTAACAAATGCGCATGATACGCATGACGCGAAGTGCGTATGATAAAAGACCGTGCGCAAAAGCTATCACCAAAGATCTCTTAAACAAATGTTTGCATCGTATGAAGCACGCCTGCAAAATATAAAATATTTGCTATGGCAAAAGCCTGAAGGGAGAGAAAAGCTCGTAGGCGAACAGCTCTCACGCATGACGTAAAATACAAAATTTGTCTCAAACATTCTGCAGCGCGTCAATGCTAGTAACACAAACATTGTCTGACAAAAGGACCTGAGTAAAAGTTCATAAGCGTTCGTGATGCAGCATCAATTGCTTGTGTGCTAAGCACCCCTATGAAGATGGTTTAGGAAAAATCGATCACCTGATTATCAAATTATTACGCCATTCTCCGATGCCGCCTGAATGCTGTGTTTGAGGAATACATTCATACCCTAGTCCTAAAATGCAGCTTGGGTTCTTTGAACTATACGATGTTCCGTCCCAACATCAAAGCCTGGGAAATAATGGTCGGTCTCAAACGAAATCCTAATGAAAAAACCCAAGCGAAAAAAGATTCGTGGGAACGTCGTTTGGGTACAGTGATCAACTTGGTAACGACAAAGAAGTGGAAATTTCTGGAATAAATATCGCACAACTCATGATAAAACAGCACTCTTTTAACCTTCTTTCACCGTTACACGACTTTCACGTTTCCAACCGATCCTATTTTTCGAAACATGAATCAGGCGTTCATGTGATTTGTTTAACACTACCCACGCTATATCGTGGTTTTGGGCTGCATTCAAACCCTTATACCTTCTGGTGCCTCCATGTCAGTATTTCCGTCAGGCGTACGGAAATGCTGACACAAACGGTCGCTGCACCCATCATCCTGCATCCTAATCCCATGCACTTGAACGTAATCATGCACGCATCATGCGTCTGAATTTCAAATTTATGTGCGCACTAATGTGAACCTAATTTTGTCGATGAAAAAACGCATTTGACGACGAATAGTCGTGTCCACATCACACATTTGCTAAAAACTTAGCGAAGAAAGACTTTTGGACAAATTTCATTATTGGCGAACAACGGCAAACGAAGGCTTATCCCTACGAACGTTCGCGATGCAATCAGTTTCATACTGAACTTTCAGACTTCTGCATTGCCAAACAAGGTTTTTACGTAATGATCTTTCCACGTTACGAAACTGATACCGTACGCAGCTTATCTTGACGGACGCACGCAAACAAACTGGCAAACAGGTGCCCAACGGTCTTTCCTATACATTCTTTTGTCCGCAGCAAAGACATACTCCTCGGGTGTTATCTGGCGGCTGTGCCCATAAGTCTGCTGAGGTCAAAAGTACGCATAAAAAGAGATCGTATAACAACTTTCCTTGAGATCAAGCTTGTATTCTTAAGGACGGTAGAACAACATAGTCATGCAACATCAGAAACTCATCATGTAAGAAGTTAGTCATGCAAAAAACTGCTACATATACAGTTTTTGTAACAAACTACTCATCGAGAAACTGTTGCAAAAAAAACACCGGAAAACTGTTGCAAAAACAAAAACGTGCTAGCACAAAAGTTCATGGCAAAAGTCGCGTGAGCTCGTTGAAGGCCACTGCCTCTCAGAGGAAGAAAAGAAAACTTTCAATGATCCACATGCTGTCATGTAAAGCTATAATGTTAGTAGCGTGTATAAACGCAAATATTCATACATATATGCTACTCAGAGATAGGTTTGTTTCATTTAATTACGCGCATCACGCGTCACGCGGCGTGCATCATTCATATATTAGCATAATGTCAAGTTACCAGACATCGCGCGTTAAGGCACTAATCACGTGCGCATAATGGGCCTCGATGCACCCTGCACGTTTAAGTCTGGTCGCCGACTTTTCCTAACAATGGACGGACTAATTTTCCTATCTGGATGGTCCTGTGCTCTGTGCATGACACTGAGTTCTAAAAAGGGTTAAGGGTCCGCACCTTCCCGGATTTCAGCCCCAGTGCACTGGTTACTGATACTGAAAAAGTCACATGAAGAGGGATTGTGCATAAACACGTCTTAAACAGTACGGGCTTGAGAATGACATCATCAAAGATTGTTCGGCGGCAACTTGGCTTAGGTGGTGCATCCTCCCCAATCTTGATGCCACAGAAATCAGCATTGACAGTGGCAAATAACACCAGGAATTAATTATGTGAAGACCCCCAAGCGCCCTTGTAAAAAAGCTTCTGATTGCCATCCTGCCAAATGGTTCACGAAAAATACAGCGTTGTTTATTCCTAATGGGTCTGGATGGCACGTTAATACAACGCATTAAAGACATAGGACAACTGTAATAAAGGTACCCGTTTGACGGCAGCGACCGATGGTATAAATTTCCACTCTTCTACGTCTAAAATCATCTTTTAAATATGATTGTTTCAGTGACATCTGCAGAGCAGCCTTCGCTGAAAAATGGCTCCTAGCTGCAAGACAATGTTGGACGTCTGGCTCTAAATCTATAATAACGCACGGACACCCTTTAAAAGTAACATACAGCTTTGCAAACATTATAAGACATGGTTTATCGTGGCTTTTGGGCCTTTTTCACTTCCTTGAATCGTGCCGCATAGGAGATACCTATGAATGCTTGCAATGCAATGAGCAAATGGAATCGCAACACCCCATGCGTTACTTCCTGCGGAGCAAAATTAGCTTTAAATACAACAAAAGTAAATGGCTGAAATTCGGGGAGAAACCAGGTAACGGGTGTAGGTTTCGTCGATGATGTAGGCCGAGGCCCTCACCCTAGCGATTCAAAGGTGAAATCCTCACATAAGAAAGTTCCTATGCTATGCCAGGCCGCACTGTCCGCCCATTGTTTTTGACACTTGACTAGAAAGGACTTAGAAGGGGTTAAAAAGATTTAATTGAAATTTTCTCGTAGTTTTTATTACCTGCAATCTGGCTGCGCACTCTACCAAAACTCTACGGCTTATGAGACGCGTTGCTCCAACGCGAGACAGCGGGCGATGAGCTCCACCGCTCCACCCAGGGTGTTCTGCCGCTGATTCCATTGAACTCTACCATCCGCGTTGCTTGCAAAACATGCGCGTTGTTGACAAGCTGATCGGGTGTTGCTGAACGATGCGGGTAATCTTGCACTGAAGTTACATTTGGTGGCGATTGCGCGTTGTACGTAGGCCACTTATACGTACACACCGAGGTAATAGATGGTTGGCATTGGTATGTTCTTGCCTCAACCCAGCTTTTGGCAATTGTGCATGCGTTTTGATATGTGCATGATTGTTACTGGGCACAAGAAAATGCGAGTGTGTGGGCGATACATACTGCATCAAAACAGATGGGGCCCGGGGTGCATTCGGTTTTGGAATCCGGTAACTATTGCGATGTGGTTGTTCCCATTATTTTCGCTTGTGTTTCCCTTCTACCTCTCCTACATGCAGTGGGCTTGTAATGTTTGTAAGGAGTCTAACTTTTTCAAGCATTCCTGTGCCTTCAGCAGAAATGTGTTCTTTCAAAATTGAGTAGGGACATTTTGTAATATCTCGTTCTTGGATATTGGTAATCTCTTAAAGCAAAAGGAAGGCAGAATCATGCCAGTACTTGAATCATATTCATTTTGTCTTATTGCCATTAGTATTCTGACAATAGGTGCATGAAGAATCTGCCAACCAGCATGATTGTTTTGCAACCAGAAATGTTGGTTTGATGATAGCTTCTGTATTTATATGTGATTTTTACTTTCCTGTTGCTGTGCAGATGCATTCTGCATTCCAGAACATGTTTTTTGAGATACTACTACTATATTGAAGTGTTTGCATGTCAAAAGTGATAAGGTTACATCATGCTAATTCAGAATGAAGTCATATTAATCATGTCAGTTTAGGACAAAGTGATAGCTGTGGGGTATCATAAAATGCAATAGCTCTGTACTTACAGGAATATGACAGTTTTTATGATAATCCTAGAAAATATATGTTCTTGTCAAGTACAGGTTTTACACAAAAAGAACAGTTAGGTACCTATATCTTTTAGTGATTTTTTATGAAAAAGGTTGCTGGCCCCACAGAAAGTTATGCCGTTCCCCCAATTTATGTGCCTTGCCATGCTGCGTATTCACATGTCTGGTGCTATGCATTTGTTTTATTTAAATTCAAGACTTTATTGACTGATGAATATTTTATCATACTGTCAGCAATGATGTGCAAGAATATGTTCACACTTTGAATATGATTAAGTCTTGAATTCATGTAAGAAACATACTTAATAGTTTGCATCAATAGCATTGTGTATATGTTTGTCTGAGTTCAGGTGGGTGCACCATATGCTCACATAATCAGAGCATTTATAGGGCCTATTGAAACATCACCTCACATTACATTACACTTTAAATCCATGTCATGATTTTCACCATTCTATTTACAGCTGTTCATGGTTATTCATTGTTTAACCACAATGTATTTCCTAGCCCTCCTGCATTTCCAGTGCACATGTGTCCTTTATATGAACAGCAGTGAGTATTCCCATGAGGAGGATACAGAGCTGAACTTTTCTCTTTTGAAGTGGGAGATGATTTTAAAAGACTGATTGCTCCCTACAATCTGATAGTTTGTTCACATCCATATTTAGAACTGACCATCTCACTGTCTTGTTACAGGACTTCAACATTAGCTATCTTTTAGAAAAAAATGAGTAGCCAGTTACCAAGAAGGATCATCAAGGTATGTAATGTTAAGCAGACAGCCAATATATACAGCATTCATCTGTTTGGGTGAACCAATGATTGATGAGATGGCTATCAATAGTCTGTGTTGCTGTTGCAGGTGGGTTTTTTGTGGACACATCATCTATGTTTTAGAGTCTTGTTTGGATGTGTGGATAGTGACAATTCATCACATATTTTTTTGCTTTAGTTTTGAAACATTTTGTTGCTTGTGTCAAACAGAGCTATCAAAGCTACCCTGCTACATGTTTCAGGAGACACAGCGACTGATGGCAGACCCTGTGCCTGGCATCAGCGCAGTGCCAGATGAACAAAATGCCAGGTACTTCCATGTGATAGTGGCAGGTAAGCTGATGATGATGTGTTCTAGCCATTCACAGCTTGGTTGATGACTTTGTACCACTTGATCTGTGTCTTTGCTTTCAAAGTGTGGAAGGTACCAAATCACTTTCAATTATCATGTTGCAAAAATATGTGAATGCCAAAACATAAGGTATTGATCTCAAAACAGCATGAAGTTCAGCTGAAGTAAAAAAGCAAAGGGAGTCCTTGGTTTTAATCTCCTATTGATTTCATCATCCAGATGTTCTTAATAATACATCAATGGCTTTTTGATAATGTGTAAGGTGTTTGTGGGATCACTGCATTGTATACAACTGCTTGTGAAGAAAATGTTATTTGGCCAGATGGTGGAGATTCAGTCTTGAACTCGCCACTCAGCATGCTTCTGTGGGTAGGACAGCACCAGATTTCTTGGCCTATGCCCTCCATGATCTCCATTGGTGGGCCTATGGTTGTGACTTCTTGTTTTCAGAAATGTGCCATTGCTGAGATGTTTTTGTGTTAACTCATTTTGCTAAGCATTATCAATGCAAAAATAATCTTAATTATAATGACAGATATGCTATAGGCAGTTGACTTACATTGGCCCTTGGCACCAGAACAACGCAGGCAGCATCTTCTATTGGACAGATGAAATGGATGACCGAACGATCCGTCGCTTATGAGAGTGGTACGTCGGGCTCCTGAAGCATCAGCTGTGGCGTCACAGTGGATTGCCTAAGCCCTTCAGCGGCGTCGCAGTGGCGCGGGTGGTATGTGCAGCAATTAGGCCGAGTTGCGTCAGGCGTGACGAACGTGACGTCACTGCCGCATAACCTGATGCCTACGCTGAGCAGCGGGGAAGCCTGGCCTCGCTTCAAAGTGCCAGGGCCGTCTTATGTCATGGCATCTGCCGTTAGCTCTCCGCCAGTCACATAATAAGCGAATTTTCCGAAGAGGTGAGTGAACTGCTCGGAATGATGCAATCTGAGGCACAGCTGTACACCAGCGATGCGTGGCTTCGTTTGGCGAACAAAGGCGTGGGTGGCTTTCCCCACGACACAGTACAGGGCAGAGCTGCCGACTGTCATGACGACATTGAAGTAGAGCAAAGCTCACGTGGGTGCCGTCTGATGCGGAGAAGCGGTCCCGCTCAGGTGCAGCGATGCTGTAAGTCATTTGGGATTAGCAGAACCATGAAACCTTGTCCATGTGCCGTGAACAGTGTTAATGAACGCGGAATGTGTTTGACTGCGTTGGATGTATACAACAATGATTATGAATATGAATTCAGTCGTGATGGAAGCAAGTGAAGCTTGCGCGTCCTAGTTTTCGGTATTGTGAATATTTATGCTGAAAATCACGGACATTCAGTAAACCCGAGGAGGTACGAGTCAAACAACGACATCAAGCAACAAGCTATGAGGATATCGGATAAGAATAATTGTTGTTTCAATGTAGTCGTCATTCCCACGACGTGGCCACGAATATTGAACACTGTTTTAAAACGTCGAGTATTCACATGGTATGCCATGACGATTCTTGGGATTTCCGGTGAAACCGGATCTTCCCGTGTATTGAAAGCCATTCCGTCCGGCGTAGAACGCCTAGCGAATATGTGGTAGTGAGAAGCTGCGCTCATTCATTATTATCGTCGATGCAGCTTCCACCATTTTATCCGCCCCTGCCCCCCCCCCCCCCCCCCCTCTCCTCGGCTCTTCCTCCACTCCCCTGCTGATCGGGACTCGGCATCTCACGGTATGGGGATCTCCCGATAAGCGCCGGCGCTGCGTGGACGACCGGCCCACCCGCCCCTGCGCGCTCTTTCCTGACCATATCCGCGTGTCCTGTGTCCATTTTTTCTTGCTTCGAATCTTGTGTCACGTGGGGAGGACGTGCTGGGCACCGGCCTCACCCGCTTACTGCGAGCGCGCGCCTCCGCTCTCTGGCGACAGTCGATCGGCGCGTTCATGTAGCTGCACTGGCCGGCTCGAGCCGGCCCGTGGGCTCTTTCGTTGTCTGATAGCTGCACCTGGCTGTTCAGTGCTTGGGTCGTGGTCGATTTGTGTTCGGCGTATGCAGGGATCTGAGCTGCTCGAGCATTTCTGCGGCTTCAATCTGAATGGGTTCATGGTGCAGTTTTATCCGCGTTGCAGGTCCGGAGGGTTCACCGTTTGAAGGCGGCGTATTCAAGCTGGAGCTTTTTCTCCCAGAGGAGTACCCGATGTCGCCTCCAAAGGTCCGGTTTATGACGAAGATTTATCATCCGAACATCGACAAACTTGGGAGGATCTGCCTAGACATTCTAAAAGGTGACTGCAGTGTAACTACCGCGTGTAACATGTGTGTGACATGCGACTACGCATTTTTTAAGATCAGCGATGGGCCTGCTCCTAACACCATTTAAAATGTAAGGAGTGCTTATAATGCATGGAGGAGCAGTGCTTTTCAAAACTTAGTCCAAATATTTCAATTGGATGGATTTCTGGGGTCAGAGTTTACAGTAACCAGTGCCGTTGTGTAAACCGGCACGGCCTGCCCCGCCCTCCGACCCCATACGATCTGAGTGGCTGCTGCCGCCGGCCACAGGCCATCCCAGGCACGGGCAAATGGCGGGCACTGAGGCTACTTGAACCCACTCACCCCGCCGCCGGTGGGTTAGAGGGCAGCCACTCTAACCGATTAAGCGACGGAGGTGGACATGGCCTCTCAGATTTATGTCAACTTTGCCTATTCTGGTATATGCGCATTTTATGTCTCAAGGAGTATATTTAGCCACGTGGCTATGTCATAGGGCTTTATGAATGAGTCCTGGCTACAGCATGAAATTTTGCTATCCGCTGTCTTTATTGGCGAGTTTATATGCATTACAGCCTGTACTTACGGTGAATCACGTGCGTGACAGACATGCTGTCCGGACTAAGTAATGATTCATTGAAATGTCAGTTGATGGCTGTTCTTCGAAGGCTGTCGGATGTCTTTTGAATGGTGAGGGGTGGTTATGTTAGGGTACATGGTGCATTATTGGTCCACTTATGGAATCTCTGGGCCGCTCTGGAAACACTTAGAGCTGTCAGATCTGGAATGACAAACTTCTATCGAAAACGTGCGTGCATTTGCGCTGAATCTTCGGCTGCGTTTACGTCTTGCGCCAGTGGTTTCTGGCGTGTAGACGAAAATGCTCTTGTCGGATGGTGTGGTCGTATCAAATGCTGCTTAGTCCGTCGGATGGTAATTCTGCACGGGGAATTTTCATGAGAAAAAGGGACTCTGGCAACCTTAGCGGTGCCTGGAGGTGGATTTATTACCCAACAACAAGCTGTCCCTTGTTGGAGGTATTATGTCTATCTGTTGTGTGTGTGTGCCTGCATGACTTGAAGCGAGCTAGTTAGCGTCCTGCTGCTTTGCGAACACCAGCTTACCTAGTCATAAAGCGTATTAAAAAACCTGCACGCTGCAGCGTGTCTTAATGTATGTCTCCCCATTCGGCTGTAGCCAGCTGTTCCGTGTGCCAATGCCCTTCCAGGAAGACTTCAGTTTGCGCCGGGTGGCCGTGCGCGCCTGTACCTCCAGTTGAGCCCTCCCCCCCCCCCCCCCCGTGTCCCACAAGCGGTGCGTGTCCGTCCCGCCGGTCTCTCTTGCCAGCTGGCCCTCAGCGACTGACGGTGCTCCTCCGTACCCGGCAGACAAGTGGTCGCCGGCGCTGCAGATCCGTACCGTGCTGTTGTCAGTGCAGGCGCTGCTCAGCGCGCCCAACCCGGACGACCCGCTCGCCAACGACGTGGCCGAGCTCTGGAAGTGCGACGAGGCGGCGGCCATTCGCAACGCGCGCGACTGGACCCACCGCTACGCCGTGGCCGACAAGTGAGCGGCGGCCGGCGCACGCTCGCGGCCCTGCGACGACCGCCGGGCCCAGCGACGCGGCGCCGGTGCGGCCGGCGCGGCGCGCGCGAGCGGTGTCGAGTGGTGGCGCGCGACGCGTCGCGTCCCGGCCCGGCCGCTGAGTGCTACCCGTCGCCGGCAGGGGGCGGTGCTCCTCCGCGCGTCGGTCCAGCCGGCCACTCAGAAGCATGGCTGTGCGGCGAGCCGCGACGCGACAGATCTGACCGCGCGCAGCTCTGGGACCCGCGGCGGCATGAGCTCGGTTGCTCCCCTCCCCCTGGTCCGGCCTGTCGCCGCTCTCTCCTCCATCGCCCGGCTTCCGATCCGGTCCCCGTGCTGACCGTGTTGTGATATTGACTGACGGCTGGCGGCGACAGAGCGCGCCGTGCGCCGCTCTGCGCCGCTGCTGTCGGCTGGCGCGCGCCGAGTTACCGTGTGTGCTCGCTCGGCCGCGCTGCATGATCCGACGCTGGAGTGAATGAAGGAGGGTGAAGATTGTCTCTCTTTGACGATGGGCGGACGGTGTTGGAAGAACACGGGGGTGGACAGAGTTCCCCCACTGGGGCTACGGGACAGCTGGGTCAGGTTTTCTTGTTTGCGACCTTTTCGCTCTGGTCTTGCCATTATTACGTATTCACAAATATAAACAATTTTTTGGTAATGGCCGGCACGGTAATATTGCAGTACAAATTTTGACGTCGTCGACTGGTTGCGTTGAACTCACGCGCAGAGGAGAATCGCAGGTTCACAGTATGTAGGATACGATAGGTCGCTGGCTGTATGTTGCGTTACTGGTAGGAATATTGAAGGCGACCAGATGCACCAGAGATGGGGGGAGGGGGGGGGGAGGGGAGGATTGACTAACCGCGGGTCTTTACTTCTTCCCGGGGTTGAAAATGATGACGAAATTTGGAGGTATGGTATTTACGAAAGCGTAAGTTTGGCAAGTCATGACATTTGTTGTGGGTAGGGCGGTCAGCTGCACGGCATCAGGCGTAGCCTGCGGCCGCATCGAGTTACGAACGCAACGGGCATGAACAGGAGTCTGAAGTGCGTCATTGCAGTAAGAAGGTAGTGGGTTAGTAAAAGCGTTGTATATCATTTTGCCCACAAGCACTGCGGGGGGTAGCTCTTTGAATCGATGAATAGCGTTCCGGGAAATCGCAATGCCCAAGATAAGCAATCGGCGTCTACGTATGCAGCAAGCTAATTAGTTATTGGGCTTTAAGGGTGCATCAACTAGAATGGTTGTTTACGCCTACGCCTAGATAAAACCGGTATCCCGAGGTGTCGCAATAGAAAACTGCGCATATGAATGTCCCTGAATTCAAGCCAGGACCCCAAGCGACGGAGATGGGCTCTGTTCTCCAGAAGAGCTTAAGATGGATGAGAAAACTCATTCTGCACATATACATATGATCCGGTCGTTCCCCTCTTGTGCGAAATCCTGGCTGCGCCACTGCGGCGCCCGCGCCAGCCGCAACCTTCGAGTCGCAGGCGGCGCACACCGCAACCCGCATGTGGGTCAGCTGCTGGGCCGTGGGCCGCTCTGCCCGCGTGGGCCACACGCACATTTCCTGGTCGCGAGCAGGCATACCGACACCCGAACGCCGCGGTTTGGCGCGCACAACCCGCCTGCATTAGCCCCCGACAGGTGCGCCAACTGTTAAGCAGGGTGTCAGCGGTGTGTGAACGGCAGGGTGCGCCTGCTGCACTCATCACGGCGCCGCTCGTCCCGCTCGCGAGGTCCCAGTGGATGGATGTGCGGCTCGGGGAAGTCCTTTTACTGACGCAAACTTGAGTTTGACGCCCTGCAGCGCCGCAGTGCTGTGTGCAACCCCCCCCCCCCCCCCCCCGGAGATGTCCGCCCATGACGTGCCACTGTTTTCATTACGAATCCATAATCACCCTCCGTGAAGCCCGCGGGGATGATACGCGGCGCTGATCACTGAGCAATGCTTGCAGTTCTCCAGAAATGTTGCATCTGGCATAGTTAGGCCCAGTGCGTCGCCAGCTGCAGGGCCCACGGCCCTCCCGAGGGTGCTCCTTGTGTGATGACGCACGTCCTTGGAAGAACCCGATGCACCCCTGGTGGTTCGCGACTCCCCAGCGGGGAGAGGGGCTAAGGCCTCTGGGGACCCATACACTCTCCGGTAGCATCGCCGATCGCACTATTTTGATCATTCAAACACGTAACAGTCGGGTATCGGTCGACCCTACCTCTCACCTCATTTTAACATCGATCTCCCTTCCAATACATCAGTTCGAACCCCGCATATCTCCAGTGGCGCCCTCCCCTTTCCAGGGTCCAAATCCTGATGGCGCCTCTGAATGGTGCGCTCCTTGTTTGGTTCTGGACGTCGAACTGCATGCAGCCCACCGCGCACCGCGTGTCGGCCCCACACGGCCGCCTGTCCGATCCAGTGGCAAAACAGGAGAGAAGCACCAGCAGCAGAAGCACCAATGACCCGATCGCGACCCCTCACAGAAACACGCAACAATGCCCATTACGGGTAAATAGATTCAACAACAATGCATGGACAAAAGCGAACGAAAGGGCGACCCGCATATTTGCTACACTGCGCGCAGGGACCGAAACCCGGGGTCTGAGCAAAACTGGAGGGAACGACGGGGCGGCACTGGAAACATTTTTCAACCACAGATTAAACGAGCAAACGCTGCCCGACAAAGTCGAACAGTCCCGGGTGTCTTGCCCGTAAAACCCTTTCACAAACAGCATGATCACCCCACCACCTTATCACGTGTCTGCTGACGCCGCTTCCATTGGCTGATCGTTCGCCGATGCCACTTCCCTCGGTTCACCGTCCGCTGGAGCCTCTCGCTGTGCATCACCATCCGCTGGAGCCTCTCGCTGTGCATCACCATCCGCTGGAGCCTCTCGCTGTGCATCACCATCCGCTGCAGCCTCCCGCCGTGCATCACTGTCCGCTGGCTCCGCTTGCTCCGTCGCCCCGTCAGTTGGGGCGCCCTCCCTGTTGTCGCTGTCTTTGATGGCCGCTTCCTCTGATTCGCCGTCCGCCGATGTCGCCTCCTTCTCCGCGCCATCCGCTAGCGTCGCCTGCCCGCCGCCCTCCGCCCCAGCGGCGTGCTGCCCTCCCTCCGCCGCGTCCGGAACCTTAGCCTCCTCCATCTGCCGCCAGAGCTCCGGGTCGCAGCGCTCCAGTAGCGCTACCACCTCAACATGCGGCGTCTGCGGAAACAGGTCGACCGGCACCAGCCGGCGCACCACGAAAGGGTAGCCGACGTACTGGTTGCTCTCTGGCCGCGCTAGGTCCAGCAGATTGCGTAGCGCCTGACGTAGGTCACACGCTACGTACACCACGCGCCGCAGCGCCTCGGTGCGTCGCAGCGTCTGCGTCACCTCGCGGCCAAGCCCAGCGCGCGGCGGGTCGACCACGGCCACGGCGCGGCCAGCCGCCACCTCGCCGCGCTCCAGCAGCACGCGCAGCAGCGCCTCGGCGCGACCGGCGAAGAACTTACAGTTGGCGACGCCGTTGCGGTCGGCGTTGGCGCGCGCGTCGGCCACGGCCGCCTCCACCAGCTCGAGACCGAGCACGGCGCGCGCGCGGCCAGCCAGCGCCAGTCCGATGCTGCCGGCGCCGCAGCACACGTCCAGCAGTGTGGTGTCGGCGTCCAGCTCGGCG